GGCTTCAGCATCGGCAACGATGTTTTCGATGTCAACGGCGGCAGAATTCAAATGTCATTGCGGGATGTCGTCGTCTTATTCGTTGTCGAATGGCGGCAGCGACACCATCACGCGTGTGTGTGTGTGTGTGTGTGTGAGTGTCTGTGTCTGTGTGTGTGTGTGTGTGTGTGTGTGTGTGTGTGTGTGTGTGTGTGTGTGTGTGTGTCGATCAGTGATGAGGCGCGATCTTTGCGCGCTCGTCTTGTCCATTTCGCCGGCGATTGGCAACAATGCTTCATAAAGAGCGGCAGACGATATACATGCAATGCAACAGAAAAGGCAGCGGAGGGGGACGACTATGAATGCCATGTGGTCGCCTCGCATCCACTTAGCGACGCGGATCATGAGCGCAGTTCTTGAATCATTCGATCAGTAGTAGGCAGAGTCATTCAATACAATGTAAACCGTAGCTGAGGCGACAATGGCCGTCAGTTCGCACACCGCTAGGTCACCTGATTTGTTCGATTTGTCACCATGTTCGGTCAAAACTTTGCCTTTAGGAACCTTACAATAGTCACCTTTGCAGATCGGGCAATGGTAACAGACAACAGCCACTGGGAAGCCATCGCCATATAAACGGATGGCTCCACTGGACACAAGTAAGTTTCGGGCCGAGTTTGTCGGAAACAGGAAACCCTGTGGTGTGCCTCATCACCTTGCAAAATTGCTCTGAACCAGCAAAAGCTTTCGACTCGAAAGTTCAACCTGTTTCCTACATAAAGCCCCAAACTAATAACAATGAGAAAATCATGCAAACGATGCTGAAAACGACGAACGGGATAGTGCGGTAGTCCTAGCCACACGTTTTATGCTGCTTCTGTCGTAACGGCAATATCTAGCACATACAGAAACAGTAAGTTGATCGTAGAGTGTTTAACCATCTTTCGTTTCGCTATGCTCAGGCAAGATACAACAACAGGTGCCGACGACCATTTGCCTGGCACTATTCGGCTCGGTATAGTGGAGTACCTACTGCGTCTATTGATCATTCTCCTTAGCTACGTATTGTTCAATTTATCGTATCATACACACGAACGCCAGTGCTGACCGTAGGTCTATCAAACCTCGATGGAGTGCGTGGGCGATCGATAATTGTATTTGTCGATCTCACGCGTCCGATCTTTTCTCTGTCGTTAGCGTTGTCGTCATCGTGGTCGAGGTGTTCGCGATGCGCTGCAGCTGTTAGCGGTACTAAACCGTCAGTTGCTCTCGATCTTGCTGCTATTACAGTAATTCTGACCGATCGCTTAATAGTACGTCGTTACCGGCACCACCTCGAAGCCAGCGGCGGTAGGACGAGACGTCATGACCATTCATTGATGCGGTATCTATGGCACAAAGCAACGCCTTAGCACCATACAGCTTAACCATATTGCGAGCCTCATCCGACCGCACCATAGATCATAGTGCTAGTACTATGGAGATGTTAACAAAGTAACCTTCAGCCTTACACTGAGACGGTGATGCTGACAAGGCTATACACACGCACATTAAGCGAGGAAGGCTATGATTGTGCCGACGACAATGTCTTCGACGATTTGGCCGGCGACGAATGACGAAAATTTACGTGTCGTAGTATTAAAGTTTACGACGACATCGGGGGCTCGTGATGGCGATAGATGAATAATACGGAATAGTGTAGGGTGATGAAAACTAGTCAAAAGTCAGGCGGCGCACCGAAATCGAAAGAGAAAACGTCGACGAAAAAACAGCAGCAGAAGCTGCAGCCGACAAATCCTAATCAAATGACAATACCTCGTTAAACGGTCTTCATTCCAATAAGCACCGATATTCGGTGGTGTCGTTTCTAGAGAACTAGTAATTTCCGATGCATTAACGAATATCGAAATGTATGTAGGGATAGATGAAGACACTCTTTCAATCCAGTCATATTGTATAGTGCTGTGCGTCTTTGAATAGGGAATCTGTTATTTGTTGTCAGTTTCGGCATTATCAATCGTAATCTAAGTATACCATTATATATGAAAACCCAGATACGTTCAGCTTATAAAAGCCAAGCCAAGCTAAGCCAGGATACGCCCTACTCTTACGAACTTCATACCAGCACGCGACGGCCAGTCTCACCACCGTCGCTGATGGCCGCGCTCTGAGCTTGAGATGCTGCTTGAATTACTATGATACTATTATACATGGAAATTTATTTATCTGTCAATGCTATCGTTGTTATTATTCATCCATACGATTCATTGTTTACTTCGTTATTTTCGCTTGTTTGTACAGCCGTTGATCTCAGCTATAGGAGGCCACAAGCACACATGTACGTATATTCAAATGAAATTCATGATTGCTTGTACACATGCATCTTTTAGTCTCGATTTTTAATAGACCGATGCCGTTCGCAGGGGGGAATCTACACAACGGAGAAAGGAAAAACAGAAAAGTGAGTGTGCATATCATAGTTGCTCCGCGCGGGGGGTGGGGGCGGAGGGTGCGAAAGTGACCCCGTCGACAAGCCTCTGTTGAACATTGCCCATCATTTCAACTAAGGTCGTAGCTGAAGGACCACTGCTGGAGTAACAGCCCCATAATCAGCACGATCATTACACCCGGTGGCGAAACGGAGGAAGATGGAGGCCGGTCGACGAAACGAATCAGTTAGTTACTTCTGTAATACTAATCTGTGGCAGAGTTCCCGTCTTGTAGTGATCAGTATCCGTTCGACCTTGTCAGAACGGGCGTCACTATTTAGCCGTAACACTATTCCTGTATCAGGAACGCGCTACCCGCTCTTCTGCTGCCATTTCGACCGATTGTCTTACACTTCTTGTCGCACTGGAAATGTTTGCTTTGGAGAACCCCTAGCAGCAAAAGTCAGCGATGGGGCGGTGCTGGCCGTCGTTTCGAAGAGCAGTATTTTCAACACTGTAGACTACACCAATAGAGCTAAAGCCGTTCGCAGTACCCGTAATAGCCATAGCCACACCAAATATAAAAAAATGATCTTTCCGCAGTGCGTCTGCTCATCGTGGCGCTACTATTACCACAACAACAACATCAGCAATAATGTGATCATGTTCTGCGATTGATAGACTCGTACCCTTTTCGCTGATTGGGCCGAGTTGTTTGATATGCTCGCAAGCATACTTGCTGAGGCGGTTTCGGGCGATGCTCAATTTGCGCGTGTTGTTTGCACGGCGCTTCGTCACAAACAATACACCGTCATAGTAACTCGTATGGGCTTATACGGTAATGATAGGCTTACAATGATGTCTGTCATCTTTATTTTACTACTATGTTTTAAACCTGCTAGACACTGACCAAAGCCATCAACAGACAGACAATCGTATACAGTACGTAGCGGAACACGCAGCTCGTCTTCGTGTCAAGCGAAAGCATGCAACCTACGCTACTATTAATGAAGAAGCAATGAGACAGCTTAGATGAACCTACGACAGAGGTCTAATCCAAAAAATTGAACGCAGAATTTTTATAACAAGCACAGCCAGTCAGCAATAGTGGTCGAGAACGGTAAAATAGAACCTAACGGACGCATGATATCTGGTTAGTTGTCATGATTTCAACTCACTGCTTGACGAAACAAAACACTATGTTGTGTTTAGAAGAAATGCTATACAGCAACAATTAAAAAAATCCAAAGGAGCTTCTTTTGCACAGGTTTGCTTTGTTTTTCTTCAAAAGATACATGTATAAATATACTATGCTAGTCCATTGATATGCTTCAGAGGTTAAGCTGGCAGTAGCTTTCTTGACTGTTTATTTGTCATCATGCCTGTGTCACCAACATGTCATGACTGTTTGGGTATCGTCTGCCATCGAGCGACTTTGCCGGTTCGCAGACTTACGCCGCTGCAATCTCATTTGAAAATGCCAATTGGCCACCTGCGAAAAATGACCCGAAAATAATATCAGTCAGAGTTCCATTATGTTTACGATACATTGTACATCTATTTCTCTAGCTTTCTGAGCCAGCGCTCCTGGTGCTCGTGAGCGATGGTCATCAAATGACGGTAAGGACGCTGACGATGCTGACACCGTAGCACAAAAATCTTTGATTTCTAGTAGGGCGATGATTTTTGGGCCATAAATGGCGTCGCATTGCAGACGTCCTAAGATGTTTCCAGGCAGGACCACTGACAGGGGACGGGGGTAGGGGTCATTTCAGTTATGTATAAGCATGTGATCTATTTGGCTAAGCCGTACTGCCTATTCGCTGTGCTCTTCTTATGCCATTCAAGCGCTCTTTATTGAACGAATTGACACTTGGTGAAAGCGATTTCTGTTACTAAATGGTTCCCAGTCAACATCATCGCGCGCGCCTCCGACTTTGACGTAGCGTTAAAGAAGATTATTAGAAAAAAAATGGAAAAGTCGCGTTGTTGTGGCAGCCCCCCGTGTCTGATGATTATGAAACTCGCTCGTATAGCCAGTGCTTTCAACCAGTTGACTGGACGACCTTTTACGATGAATCAGTCCCTGATCTATAGCGTCACAGTGGAACCTCAGTCCATGCCACACAGATCTGTTCTGATCGTTTGTAAACTTGTCCGATTTGCACAATGATTTAATACAATGTTGTTGTTGTAACCGCCATGAATTGATGCTACTAGTACTAGTGCAGGACTAGGAATGAAAATATCGCTGATTTCAAATGACGCATTTTTCGTCGATCTATAGATAAATACGTACACATATAAATATATCAGTGTCTACATGGATGCTATAGGCGTCATGCTATATCTAAGCAATTGTGTTGTTCATAATATTGCCAGCAGAGAAAAATATCACGGATAGGTTAAGAATGGTTTGATCGTGCTAGCTGCTCAAGCGTGTATGTTTTCGATTTTCATTAAAATTTGTATTTTTCCGAGATAGCCACCCGCAGCAGGTCGTGAGGCTTGTCGGGAGGGAAAAAAAAGCTACAAGAGTATTTCTATTATGCTTCTGATAGATGTTCGATAGAGGCGAAACTAAGAACTTACCTTGCAGCCTTCGCAGGTAAACGCGCCGAAGTGGTATCCCGCTGCCGGTTCCCCGCACACCTTACACAGCTGCGACACCTGAAATGTCAGTACGCCCGATTCTTATCAACGATATGCATACCGATATCTAGTACAAAAGCAACTAATTATACAATAGCCTTTAGTATATTTTACTAAGAACTGGCTGTGCATTTAATATCTATACATAGAATGTACCTGCGCCAATGTATAGATGGATATATGGTATCATATAATTATAGCGAGTCAAAACGTCGTCTGCAAAAGCTAACAGAGGTACTGTAGTTACCAGCGTGATTTACGCAGGCTGACTGTTGCTCTTGCAGTTGGCACTATATCATGCAACGCACATTGCTTCCTTATACGATTATACACGTATTTTTCATGTACTTTAACTCGTCGTCCGCTCAAATTCTACAAAATACCTCATGTACTTGTTATATTTACAGGGCATTGATTTCGGAACATCTCGATAGTTTGCACGCTTGTTCTCGAACATTATTCGACATTGCCTATTCCAGTGGTAACTAGACGGCCACTGTTCACCGTAGTCATCATCCGTGGTTAGCAAAGCGTGCATCAGGTGGGCTGACGAGACGCTATGCAACGTCGTCATCGTACTAGACTCGCTAAACGATTTCTGGTAGTTTTTCTCATTTTGTGTTCTATATTTACCTATTAAAGAAATCCCCCATTTGCCCTCCTCCAAGTGCCCGCGAGGTCAGTCAGCGTGTTTTTGAATGTTTAGATTAACCAAAGTGGCGACCGACCAAACAAACGTACGCAACGAGTCGTCGTTTCTAAGCCGAAATCCGGAATTACCCGCTCAGATCAGTGAGACCGGCTGTTGACATCGGCCATCGTTTCAGTCGATGGCCGCTTATTGATCCGTCGGCAATGCCTCTTCGGACTCAATATCAATAGCAGTGCGCGGTTAACAATAGTGGCAACCTTCATATCGACATCATCGTTAAGTCGAACGTTCCTTCGTTGGCCGGTGCGTCCATCTGTCTATTGGTTGAACTGAAGTGGCGACTGAACGCTGTCTACAGAAGTTCATAAAGTTCGTGAAGTCACTTGCACTCGAGCTAATCAGAAACCGCCATAGTGGCACCAGCGACGACGACGACAGCGAGCGGCAGCATCAGCTTCGTACTCATCGCCACAGTTGCGTCTCCGTCATCCATAACTATTAGCCGAGAACCCCGTAGTCTGGATATCACCGTCTGTACCCAGTCAGGCAAGTCGGCGTTGGTACTGATCGACACCGGCGTCCAGCAACGGGATCAGAACACGTGCTTTCGTGCTCGTTTCGGCGTCAAGTCGCCTGCGCAGGATGGAATGAGAGGTCCGCTCGAACCACTCTCAGTAAATTTCGCTCTTTGACTTGTCTGCTCGACATTGATTCTGGATCTCTTTTGCACATACGTTCAAACGAGAGTTCATGTCCACGTTAGCGCCTGCAATCATGAGTGTGTCTCTGTGTATCGTAATATGAGCACAAATATCGCGCGCGTCTATGTACGTGCGTATATATATAGTCTTGTTTAATCGTGTATGTGTCGTTGTATACACTTCCGTTTGCTATATAGAACGGACTTAAGCAGACGGGACTACCTCCCATTGAGCCGCGTAATCCTTGGCGACGAAAACGGCAACGCCATCATCACGGTAAACCCCGACAGATGCCGCCGCCGCCGTCTCCGCTATTGATACACTATTTTTTTTTTCTCTTTCCTGGTCACTTTTCATCTATCGCTCGTTATCTGTTCGTAGTTCTTACTCTGCTCCACGCCGCTGTTTTGCTTCGACAGAACCATACAGTATTCTCTAGCGAGTCTCCGTCGTGGTACGATGGGATAGCGGCATCGACGTCGACCTCGTTGTCGTCGATTAGAACCATCCTATGAACGGATAGACGCAAGCCAGCCACAAGCAATAAGCAAGACACAAATTCACTGTTCCGCGATGTTCATTATACCGCTCTACGATTTGGCGTTCCCCAATCTCCCATTCACGAGCTCCGCATTGCCCATCGCTGATTTGCGATCCCCAGGGGCAGCAATAACGATTGGTTCTCTCTTAGGCTGACGGTCCTCGGTTGGACAACGAGCGAACCGCGTATCAAGTACCTGTCACCTCGTCACACGCCGTCCTTTTGACGCAACCTCGACCGTACAATCGTTTGTATATGCATCCATGCAACGGCTGTCTATATACACATATATTAGAGAGTCGCGAAGTCGTACATCGGCCGTCATAGAACGAAAGGTTGTTTTGAGTGTCGACAAAGTATCTGCACACAAGCTTCGCAAGCATTTGTCTACTTCAGCGCTTGGCACGATGGAGACAGACGTCTTGAACAAGTTCAGTGCAGACAAATAAAGGATAGGGTCGATCGATTGGATGAGACCGCGCTGTAAATCGATGGCCACACAAACACATGAATCCTCCTGCTGAGCCATGGGACGTCGCCGTCAGCATGGTAGCGCTGTCTGTACCGGCCTTGATGAATCAGGGATTTTAAATAAAGAATGAGACTGAATGACAGAGAGAAAGACGAGCAAGCCAATCCGCTGCCGAAAACAGAAAAAAAAAAAAGCTAGATTAACACAAGAAGGTGCCTAACCTATCAGCCATGTCATAGGAGTTGACCAGAAGCGAGGAAAGTGTGCGTTGGTGAAAAATGAATCGATAATTCCCGTACGCAAATTGTTGGCGCTATTCATCGCAAACCAACAACAACGATGAACGGATGACCCACGTGAGGGCTACTCGTTCATCGTCTATACTCTACATTCGAACATTGCACGCCTCGTAAGGCGCCGCAGCCCGGCTTCGCTTGTTATCGGTGACAGGTCAACGTGAATTTAGCCTCCAATAGTAATGCAAACGGACGAAAGCATCCTATTCTTTTGATAGAGAGAGCGATGACAACTGGCGGCAGATGAAAAACACACACATATATATATACAGAGAGAGAGAGAGGGGGGGGGGGAGAACGGCGTTTGCGCATAGGATACCGGGCCGTTAATTGTTGGCATTGATACTGGTGCGTGCGCTAATGGCAGTATCGTTAGTGTGGTCGTTACGCTAGACGCTGTTTTCTATTTGTTCTCTATCGACTCACTATCGGATCTAACAATGTCACGAATAGTGGATCCGACTGCTACTAGCTCTGGCCGCATTTGCACGTCGTCTCTCTCTTCTGCGTGCGTGGTGCTCGAGTAGACAAAAACCGTTTTTTGGTGCTGCGACTTCAAGGCATGCTTTGGTAAACAATAACAAAAGAAGCCACGAGAATCAAATAATTATGCAAGCAAACCCGAACTTGGTGGATGCTGAATAGAACCTTTCGACGATGATTATGACCTACTATCGAATGAGGTAAAAGGAAACGAAGGGTTTTAAATAAATATGAAAAGACCGTATTAGAAGATAAAGTGTCAGTTTAATGCGATAATAGCAACCCTTGAAAAGTGCATCAAAATGACCTACCTGAGTATATAATAGAAATTGTATAATATAATAACAGGACACCTAGATGAATAAGGACCAAAGGACCCCCATTGTGATATGAGCCGATGCACGAATCAGCGATCGACCGGTTCATGTCGAATGGCCAGTTCACGTGTTTCGTACTTCGACGGTCGCTTACTAAGTAGTCGATAATGTCCGGACTATTATTTGTATTTAAGCGGATTGAACTTTATGAGCTCGTTGGCAAACACAATTGTGATGTTAGCATTTATAGACAACCAAAAGGGCATAGATATATAACACATAATACATAACACGGATGGATATAACCCAATAGTAGATTTACTAGTCACTGAATAGTCTTCGCATACATTAAGATTATGGTACGCAGTCCATCTGAAAGGTGTAACAAATCATTTTCTCTTTATTCGTTGGTTCGTTTATCTCGCTCGTGTTGTCCGTGGCTTGCTATCCGTCTTGATCTAGCACAGATTTTAATGTCCTGCCTATTGCAGCTTCTAACAGTTAACACACAGAGGTTTCCTTAAACTTCCCCCCCCCCCCCCCCCCCCCCCCCGGCGTTACCTCTCTAAGAACGTTTACAATTTAACAGTATCTGATCAGCATCGTCACGAGCTCACAACGAGCTTGTTGACAATCATTCCATAATGCGGCTGTAAAAATTGCGGTAAATAAATGCTATCGAATGACAATAATTATATCTATTGCATAGTTTCCGTTAATGTTTTGCCGCTATCGATTAGTCTTCACAGCACAGCGCGTCACGGTATTGTGATAATTATTGTTACTAGAATTATTATTGTCGTTGCTGATAGAGAAGAGCTGAGCCCTGTATGTATAGCTGTTTTTATACAGTGTTAATAATTGACAGGCAAGCGTTGCTGTTTAACACGACTCAACATAGAAACGTGTCGGGTTAGATTGCTTATCTCGGAGACGTCACCGCTGGCTAACGGACCCGCGATCGGACTTACTGGCCCCCAAGCCATACAGGACCTGTCACTTGCTGGTTTTTCGATTTACCATTGCTGTTCTTCCTCTCTATCGTTTGACGCTGTCATGGCGACCACGGCTGCCTCTGTAGTTGCAGCAAAGGTGGGGTACGGGGGGTCCAGTTTTGTGTGGATATATATTGCAGGTGTCATTGTTGCAACTCCGCTAATCCTATCGACGCGTACCGTGATCCAGTGACCATAACCGTCTCGACGCAATGGCAAAAACGACGGTATCGGTAGAATTAGCGGCATCTTCGTTGCGAGGCGCAATATGGCATCGATCTTCGCCAGGTGGCCCGTTCGCAACCTGAGCGTGTAATGATCGCCAACATTTCATATTGTTGTTATTAAATATGTATATGGCTACTGCAAATAAAGAGGCACTAGCTGCTTTATTCCGGTACCAAATGTTCAGACGTGCAACGGCTACTCACGATTTTGCCTATGGTCACCTAATAGTTTTGGGCGTCGGCGGAAAACAATCAAGATCTGTCTAGTAATATTAATAATGACAATAAGCAGAGAAGCAACAACAACGACAGCAAAATGCCGGCGTTGCACTCA